GGTTCCTACCCATGCCCCCCTGGAGACTTTCCTGGCTACCCTTTTTAAGCAGAATGTTCCATACCCACCAATTACTATTGCGCCAAGTTCATTTCCCATGTCCATGGGTTACAATTGGTATTTATTTATGCCTTTTTCTTTCTGTACTTGTTATTGTCTGTCTTCTCCATTAAACTGTAAGTTCCACCAGGGCAAGGGTGTAGGATACAGAAAGCCCTTCATAAACAACTCTTGTGTGAATAAATGGTGAACAACGAGGGTAGCACAAAGAGCAAAGACAGAGTAGAAAAGCAGTAATTCCCCTCACTATGATATTTACGGATGGTGGACCTTTCATGGCCCCCCTGGTAGTCAAAACAGACATATTGTATCTGACTCCTTTGCAATATACCCAAAGACGCTAGCCTATTTGAGGCTTTAAATATCTCTAATGAGGAGGGCTTAAGTCTGCATGTATTTGCCTTGTTTTATGCAGTATTCGGCACAGCCCCAAGCACAGATGGGCGCTTCATAAATACCGCTGAAAGATAACACAGAGGATTATTTAATGCTTCCACGTGGGGCAGAGAGAGACCTTGGGCTACAAATATATTTTGAATGTGCTTTACTTCTCCGATCATTTGAACTGAAATGATTTCAGCAACCTAGACTCATCTACAACCACAAATCACATTCAGAATGACAAAGCTCCAAAAGAATGCCATTTTCAAGGCTGAAACTGTATTATTCTGGGGTAAATGGAGTCCTTGTTGTAGTGACTGGTAAGGATACAAGTGAAAGACACTGAAAGTCTCCCCTCAGGGGACAATGATTATCTTTAACAATAAAAGTTTGTCTGGATAATTCTTCAGTTTCCAATGTGCAGTCCCCCCGTATTCTGGAATCCCTGGAGTTGAGGCGAGTGCACCATTTAATGTTTCCCAAATATTCAGTTGTCATTCTTCCAGGGCCTGGCAATTCTGGGCACATTCCTATGATTTCATCAATGTTAAAAAATAACCTCCATGGGAAACCACTGTTAAGATAAAACTTTGAAGCTGCATTTATTTTACCTAAGAAAAAAGAAGCTTATAAAGTGTCCATCATGAGAATCCACCTGGGAGCTGCACAACAGATCAAATACCCAAAACAAATCACCGCGTCAGAGCCCCACAGAATTCTGAATCCCAACCAGCAAGCATGAATAATCCTTTTAAATGGTCACTTACATATCAGAACCGGTCCTTTGTGAAATCTCTAAGAAAAGCCTCTGGTTTCTGACTGAAACAGATTTATTGGAAAGAGGGGATAAAGTGAAATCAAGAAACACTGGGAAATTTCCACGAGAAAAGAGGACAAATGGTTTTTGTTGTCTGAATGAAACCAGCTTCTCCTGGCCAGGGTTTGAAAATTTGCTGGCTAAGCTACAGGAAAGTTGAGTAATATTCGCATGGTTTCTCAGGGACCATCCTGATCAAGTTGTAGGTTCTGGGCACATGCAATAGCATATTAAATCAGAAGACCTACTTTCAAATCCTGGGTTCTTTCTTATTAGCTGTACAACCTTATGCAAGTTAACTTAACCTCTTTGATACTTTGTTCAACATCTTTAATATGTTGAGAGTAATGCCTACCCAATTACCACATTTTTATTACAAGGATCAAGTGAGATCAAATGTACCCAAGTTCTTTCTAAATTATAAGATTCTGCATAAGTGAAAAGTTATTATTAACTACACTTCCAAAGTTTAAATAACTTACATAATGCTCAGGATCTGTATAATTCTGGATTCTCAATTTCTAAAGATGGTCCCATTTTTGCCTATTCACTACAGCTCTACTGAATTTTTGTTTGTTTGCAAGGAAGGACATAAGCAAAGGCAAACAAAAACAAACAAACAAACCATGGAATTATATAACTTTCTCTTTGATACCAGGCAAGAATTTTAAACTGAGCTGGTTCATCATTATGAACTTAATATCAATGTCACCTGAGGAAAAGAAGTAAAGTGGGGGACATCAAAAGGTGTGTGATTCTTATCTGGTGGAAGAATACAAGATCAATTTACAAAAATTAGTTGTATTTCTAACTACTAGCATAAAACAACTGGAAAATTAAATCTATAAAATTATTCCATTGGCAATATCATCAAAATATATATATAAATACACAGGAACAAATTTAACAAGAGTTGGGTAGGACCACTACACTAAACTACAAAACATATGTATAAGAAAATATACTACAACATATGTATGAGAAATTAATGAAAAAATAAATAAGTTGAAAGATATACCACATTCCAAGACTGTAAATCTCAATATTATTAAAATGCAATTCTTCCCAAATTGCTCTATGGATTGAACACAATCTCAGTCAAAATCTCAACAGGCTTTTGTTGAAATTAGCAAGTTGATACTGATGTGTACATAGAAATGCAAAGGACCTAGGACACATAATTTTTTATTGGCTAAAAAAGAAAAAAAATTGGTGGGAGTTGCTTAGTTTCAGTACTTACTTTAAAACTTCAGTAATCAAGACAATGTAATATTGATATAAGAATAGAAAAATGTATCAGTGGAACAGAATAGAGAATCCTCAAATAGATCCACATATATATAGTCAACTGATTTTGAACAAAGGCACCAAGGGGAAAGGAAATTCTTTTCAATAAATAGGGTTAGAATAAATGGATATGGAGGAAAAGTGAACCTTGACCCCTGCCTTACACCACACACAAAAGTTAATTCAAAAATCATCAAAACTTAAATGTAAAAATTAAAACTACAATGATTCTAGATAAAAACATAGGGAAATCATCTTTCTGACTTTGGGGTAAGGAATGATTTCACGTAGAGGACAAAGAATTATATACTAACCATAAAAGAAAAGAAATAAATTGAACTGTTAAAATTTAAAAGTTATACACATCAAAAGACACCATCAAGAATATGAAAAGGCAAGCACCAGGGAGGGAAAAAATATTTGTAATGCGTATATCTCACAAAAGCCTTATTATCCATAATATATAAAGAACTTCTATAAATCAATAACAAAAAGACAAACAACCCAATTTTTTAATTGAGCAAATACATTAAAAAGTTACACAAATGGACAGTAAGCATATGAAAATGAGCTCAATATCACTTGTTATTAGGACAATAAAAATCTAAACCAAAATGAAACAATATTTTATACTCACTAGGATGTCTAAAATAAAAAAGACTGACAACACCAAATGATGATGATATGAAACAACTAGAACTCTCATATATTTCAAATAAGAGTGCGTAAAATGGAAAAAAGCTGGGCAGTTTCTTGTAAAACTAAACATACATCATTCAGCCTTCTCATTCTAGATATTTACCCAGGAGAAATGAAGATGTGCCCACAAAAAGACTTGTATAAAAATGCTCAAAAGGGGCATGACTCACAATAGCCAGTTACTGGAAACAACTATAGTGTCCACTGACAGGAGATTGGAAAAAAATACATTGTGATATACTCAATAATCGGGATACTACAGAGCAGCAAAAAAGAATGAACTACTAACACATGCAATGACTGTGGATGCATAAAATATATATATATGCAATGACTGTGGACGAATATTTTATATATCTATATAATGTAACAAACAAGTACATAGTATATGATTATATTTAGGTGAAATTCAAGAACAGAAAAAACTTAAATATGGCAATAGAGCTTATGACAATGGTTGCCTATGGGCGATTGGAAGGAGACAGGGTGATGAGAATGTTCTGTATCTTAATCGGTATGGTTGTTACACAGATGTATACATCTTCAAAACTCATCGAATTGTACCATTAAGATTACTCATTTTACTGTATGAAAATTTTACCTCATGAGTAAACGAATGAACAACACCATGAGGAAATAACCACACCAATCCAGAAGGTGGGATTCTGCAAGACAGCTGGTCAGGTCTCCTCAAAAATCTTTGTCATTAAGTATAAGAGAATAGGCTTGTGCTAAATTTTAAAAGATTTAAGGGACATAGCAACCAGATGTAATGTATGGTCTTGGACAGGATATTGCTTTGGGCAAGCAATGCATTTAAGATATTTTGGGACCATCTGGGGGAAATTTGAATATAGTCTTGGTTTTAGATGACATAAAAATGTATTAATACAAAGCTGGAGATGGTTGATGGAAAAGAAAAAACAAGCTACAAAGCAGTATATAGTATGTTTTATACATATTATATATTATATATTATATATGATTTATAATTATGTATGTATAGAAGGAGATCCAATAGCAAATATACATTTATCTATTAACATAGGTAATGTTGGAAAAGGGTATTTGTTGCATATTCTAACTTTCCATCATGCACAAGTAATGCTTCCATAATAATATATATTGCTTGAAAAGATTAGATTCTGAAATTCCTTCTTTTACAAGGCAAGGTAAAAGATGGTGGGGGTGGGCAAGGCAAGGAGAAAAAGTGCCTAACACTTTGATCTACTCAGTCAATATCCTGTTGGGCACATCTCATTTCTTCTTACAGCACACCTATAATGGATCATCCCTATTTTTGCAGACGTAATAAGGATATGAGCCAGCAGTTTAACATAATGTTATTTGACCTGAAAACCCATGTTCTTTCCACCTCACTTACATATTGTTTTATTACTAAACATTTATGAAGTATTTATTATGTACCATGCACTCTGTTAAGTGTTTCACATGAATCACCTCACTCCTACCTCATAAGAATCCAAGTAAAGATGATTCTGTCATAATCCTCATTTTAAAGAAAAGAAAGCCGAGCACAGAGATCAAATAAGTCTTAAAGTTCCCACAAATAAGAAGTGCCAGAACCAAGAATCAAATCCAGCCCACTTGATTCCTCATGTTCCAACCCTGAACACCATCCGTGTCTCTGAGTTCCTCAAGGTCCCAACAGAGTAGGACGAGTCATCGGCAGCAGCAAGTGAACATTGACATCAGAGCCTACCACAAAGCTATTCACAATGACGTCCTTGCTTACCTGTCCAGGGCCATGCTGGTGGGCATACTCCTCCCAAACCCTCGGACCCCCATCTGACGGAAATATGGAATGCAAGAGAGGTTGGCGGCAATGATGGCCAGAGAGTCGGAAGGGCTCACAAAGAAGCCATTTTGGCCTAGGATCATATAACGGTCCTGTGGGAAAGAATGTGTGAAAATGATCGGACAGAGGCACCTGCTGCTAGCAGCCCATTCCCATAATCATCACAAGACACTTTACGGCCATCGTGTATTTAAACAACCTAAAACAACCTGAATGAGGCTAAAGAGGGCATGGGAAACCTTCTTTCAACTCCCTAAATATTGTAGGCCCCAGGATGTTGACGCAACTGGGAATGAGTCCCACCTGCTGAAATGTAGACGACTACCTCAGACTTCAGTAGCCTCCAGACCCTACCTCACACTGTCCCCCAAACGTAATGGAAAACAGGGGTTATTGTTAAAACAGCTGGCTCCTTAACATGGTGCTTTCAACAAAACAAGCCATAAATAAAGATTTATTGCATGAATATTTTTTAAAAAGAAATAACCTCTTCATAACATAATGTTTACCAGGAACTAAGAACAGTAATGGCTATTGAGTTGCAATACTTGTTAAACAGAAGAGCAGATGCAGTGCCAGTTAGGCTTCATGTGCCCCATACATGTTGGCCCCAGATGTGTTCATTAATTTTCCAGTTTCCAATGCTTGGTTCATTTTATGGCAAAAGAGTTAACAGGTGAAAAACATTCTTACCCCGTCAGCATCAAATGCAGCTCCAAATCCATATTCCCCTCCTTTCATAGCTTCCAGAAGGGTCGTTGCATAAGTCAGGTTTGGGTCAGGATGTTGCCCGCCAAAATCTTCCAGGGGAACACAGTTTATTGCAGAATTGGCTGGGGCTCCCAGCTCATCACACAAGACTTTTCTCACATAGGGTCCCATAACTAAATAAAGATAAACAGTGATGTGAAATCTTTACAGAACTGCATCCCCCTATCCCACCCACCATAAGTACTTTGTTCTGGTTAGAACAAGAAAAGTCATTTAATTGCACAGAATTTACACACACATACACACACACATACACACACACACACACACAAAGCTTTCTCAAGACACAACACAGAATAAGTTTTACTTCAATTACTATTCACTGAGCATCTACTATGTGCCAGTTGGTGTGTCAGGCATATAAAAGATGTAGTCAGTAATCCAGTTACATAAAGCTTTTCTCCAAATCTTTTCTAAAATGTTGCCAGAAAGAAATAAACTACTTAATAATGACTCACTGTCTGTTGCTTTTCGTGTATTAAAAGCTTTAGCTAAATATATGCAAAAGCACTAACAGGCTCTAGCAATGTTCTTTGTCTCTGCAATTGTAGTAACTCTGCCAAATGTGTAATTAAACACTGTAAAACTGAAGCATATAAAACTAAGCACGTTTTACAAAATAAATGCTGAGGAATAGTGTTTTCCAGTTCGGCACACACTTATGGCTTGCCTAACATGAAATTCCTATGTTAGAAATGGAAGGGATCATATTCAACGGACTCAGACACACAGTTCCTACATTTCTGGGCTCTTAGTCTACTAGTGGAATAAGTCAAATCTACAGGTGAGTGATTGCAACGGTAAGACAAGTGCTATTCATTGTGTATTTATAAAATCATCCAATCAAATGGCTTAAGAGAAAGAATTACCACAGGTAAGGCTCCCAGAAAATGGCAGCATTTCTACATGGGGACTAGAAGGGAAAATATGAATTTGACAGGGGTGGGGAGAGAAGATGCCATCCGAATGAAAAGAACATTATGAGCAAGGGAACAGAGCCTGAGACAAAACATACAGCATGTTTGGGGACCAGCGTATAATTCTGTTAGCTGAAACATATAGAAAGGATTGTTTTCTGTTTATTTTCCATTACTATAACACAAACCTCAAACAGTGAGGCATCTCTTGATTTTTCCTGCCCAGCCCTCATTTCTCCTTCCTCTAGCAGAAGCACTTTGGGTTTCCTTTGAAGAGCCAACCCTGTTCCCATCTCAGTTCATTTAATCTGGGTGTGACTAAATCCCACTGCTCCCATGCTGGGGAGGTGGCCTAGATCTGCCCAACTGGTGTCTTTCATTTCTTCCAGAGTTATTGATGCAGAGATGGACATATAGTACAAGCTAGGCAGTGAGGCTCAAACCCAGAAATATCCCTCAAACTATTTGGAAATAGAAGCCTCCTTTTCTCTGGCCAGATAATGCTAAGGGAAGAACCTAAAAGATGCTTTTCTTAGGAATAGGACCAGCCTAACAGGAAAGAATGAAACAGCCCAGCCGGAAGACCTTAAAGTCCATGGAGGACAAGCTCCATGCATGGGCTCAGAGATCACAACAAATGTTTAGTGTCTAACTCGTAAACATGTCAGAGAGCCAAGGATCACCAGACTTTTGAGGAATGCATTTAACATGAGACTTAAACAAAGTAAAGAACAACTTGGAGGACACAGACACTGTACAGAGAGAAGAAAACTTTAAAAGTATGTATCAGTAATAGCCTCACAAATCAATAAGATATGGTAGAATGGCTAAAATGGAAAAGACTAACAATACCAAGTGTTGGTGAGAACACAGGGAAACTGGAGCCCTCACACATCCCTGGAAATGCAAACGGTCGGGCCACTCAGGGAAGCAGTGGGGCGGTTTCTTACAGCTGTCTGTGTGCTCATCACATGACCCAGCTATCTCCCCCGGGGTATTTACCCAAGACAAATGAAAACATATATCCGTACAAACGCTTGTTCACAGTGTTTATAGAAGCTTTGTTTATAGTAGCCAAAAACTAGAAATAACCCTAACGACTTGAACTGGTGCATGGATAAACAAATGGGTTGTTTACAATGCAATACTACTCAGTGCTAATAAGGAATAACTACTAATATATAAACACCACGAATGCATCTCTGAAACATTATTCAGACGGAAAAAGCCTGAAGAAAAAGGCCATGTATTATATGCTTACATTTATATGGCTTTCTGGAAAAGGCAAAATTGTGCAGGCAGAGAGCACACGAGTAATTGCCAGGGGCTAAGTGTAGGAGGATGGGTTTGATTTCAAAGGGCCACAAGGCAATTTTTGGAAGTGAGGGAAATGTTCTATATCTTGTTCGTCATATTGGTTACATACTATTTATACTTGTCAAACTTCATCCTATTGTATAGCTACAAGGTATGGATCTTTACGGCATATATGTAAATTACCTCAGCAAACCTGACTTATTAAAAAGAGATATGGGATTCATGAAACGTGAATCAGAAGCTATTTTTAAAAAGAGATCATTTGGAAAAAAAATTGGGGAGATTAAAAATATAACAGTGGAACTGAAAAACTTAATGGAAAGAATTGGAGGTAAAACTGATCACATCTCCCAGACAGTATCACAAAATAAGGAGAAGAAAAACTGGTGGCGCAGGGAGAATGGGAGAACGAGAGCATCAGTTCTACAGGGCCCGTGTCTAAACAATAGCCATTCTGGAAAGAAAGGAAAAGGAAAACAATAGAGGAAATCATCCAACAAGTAATTCAAAGAGAAATTCCCCAGAATGAAAGGGCACAGCTTTCCAGACTAAAAGGATCCTCCAAGTGCCCAGCAAAAAAGAGGAAAATAGTCCCACATTAAGACTCATTGTTGTGAAAGGTAGAAACAACTGAAGATAAGGCAAGGGCCTAAGAGCCCCCAGAGAGGAAAAGAGAAAGATTTCATACAATGAATTAAAAATCAGAAGTTCAATACAGGTGGCTATCATGGAACAATGCCTTCAAACTTCTAAAGGAAGATAATATCCAGCCTAGATTTCTATATCCAGACAAATGTCAATTAATTGAGAGTAAGCATAGAATAAAAGGCATTTTCAAATATGCAATGACTTAAAACATTTACCTTCCATGAGCTTCTCTCACGGAGTTCCTAGAGAACGTGCTCCTCCAAAACTTAGGGATTAATTAAAACAAAAACAAAAACAAAATTAAAAAAACCCAGAAGACAAAGTTCCAGAAATAGGACAGTCAGCATAAGAGAGGGGTAAAGGGAATTACTAGAATGATGGCAAGGGACGATTCCAGGAAGACAGCAGCTCAGAGAGCAACCAGTGCAGAGAGAAGCAGATCAGAGATCTCCAGGAGAGTGAAGTGAGAGATTTAGACCCTGTGAGAGTATGAGGGTTAATAGTAATAATCACACTTGACAAAGACTAAGCGATGTGTGTACACAAGACAATGACTAATCGCAAGGCAATAAAAAAAAACTGTACTGTAAAGAAAACAGAATTATAATGCTTTACATGACTCAGCAGTATTATGGTAATGTAGACACTGAATACTGATCTTATTAAAATGGTCATATAAGTAGCTTAGGTAAATGTGCTCGACTCAGCAAGTGGAGAGAGTGTAAAAAAAAGCTACAACCTCGTTTTCCATAATACGAAGCCAGTACTGGCCAAAACTGAAAAATCAACAAGAAGCTGTATAGTCACGGTATTTATTAACAGGAGATAAATACTTCAAAAAAAGAAAACTAAAAAGGGATGGCTGAGTAGTCAAACACTGTGTTCACCTCCTCCCATAACCAAATCAAAATTACAACTAAACTATAGAACATGCAACCAGCCAACCACCTGAAGACAGGTTGACCAGAAGTCCTGTAACTAGGATGTGAAGAGGAAGCCACTGGAGACTGGTAACACAGAGGAGATGCAAGCAGGGCCGGCTCCGCCCCCACGCCTAGCAGTTAAGAATCCGGAGGGATATCTCAGCTCCGAAGAACCTAGGAGCTCCAGCCCCACACTGGGCTCCCCACCTTGGAGCACCAGAGCCAGAAAGAGGCGCCCACCTAACATCTGGCTGTGAAAATCAGCAGGGATTCGCCCCTATGGGTAAAACAAAAGGCTGCAGGAAACCCAGCTGCACTCTTAAAGGGTCTGCGCACAGGGCTTGCTGGCACTCACCCTGGGGGCTTTGAGGGAAGGGGACAGGGCACCAGAGATGTACAGGAAGAAACTGAGTTGTGCAGTTTCAAAGCAAGGGCTAGAGAGTTGCCATTGTCCCTGTGTTGAGCCCCCCTCACACACAGACAGCAGGCAGGCACCATCTTTCTGGTGTTGAGCCCTCAGCCAACTGGTCCAAATCGGAATCTGCATTAGCCTGGTGAACGCAGCTCACCCTGCTCCGACTACTTCCTGAGACCCCCGCCCCACCCAACTCAGGGTATGAACAGAGGCCCTTTCATAGCCAGGCGGCCAGCCTTGCTGGCAGTGCAGTCTTTCTTAAAATCTCCCAAAGGTCTCCCAGCCCCAGGCAGATGGTGGCTGACCTCAGTGTGCCCTGTGCCTTTTACCGAGAGGCCCCAGGCTCAGCACTGGTGAACAACACTCACCCTACCCTGGTGACTCCCTGAGACCCCACCTCGCCCACCTCAGGTACTACCTGAGGCTCTTTCCGTGCTGAGCCTTAAGGGCAGTCAGCAAGCCTTAGGGTGCCCCACGCCTTCTGCTGAGTGGCCCCGTGCATGGTGCTGGTGGCAGCCAGCCACCATTAGCAGTATGGCTGCTCCCACGCGCTTCTAGGCATAGCACAGGTAGCTACCAACCTTGAATCACTTCGTAGCTCCTACCAGGTAGCACCAGACTGGTCACAGGCAGCAACTGACATTGGCACCGACGGAGTTCCCATGAGGCCCCAGAACCAACACACTTGGTGGCTGGCTTCAGACCACAACAGAGCACTACCTAATTAGCCTCACAGGCGGCAAACCCAAACGGTAGTCTCAGCAGGTACTAGGGCCACTGGGGCAAATCCCACGCCGTGGAGTCAACCTGAGCGCAGCAGCTGGTGTGCTGCGGTCATGGCCAACCCTCACAGCCAGTCAGCCTGAGGGTTAACCCCACGCACTGATGTGTCAGCAGCAATCAAGGCTCAACTACAATAGGAGGGCATACACAACCCAAACAAGGGAGACCCACGGAGCACCTGGTTCAGGTGATCAGGGAGATTGTGTGTGCCATGGGGCCCCACAGGTCACCTGCAACATAAGGCCACCCCGCCAAGACCAGGAAATGGAGCGGATCTACCTAATACATTAGAGCAAACACAGAGTGACAGCAAACTTACTTGTTCAAGCTTTTTTTTCTTTTGCATCAAAAGGGAGAAATTAGAGCCCTGATGTTTTCTAGAGCATGCCAAACAACTGAAAACACATATGTTGTGTGAATACCTACAAATCCAGCCTTTCTCATAATCTCAGAAATCCAACGTGGGTCAAGGTCTCCTTAACATTTCTTGCCCACCGAATGGTGAAAGCCCACATGCTTACCTCCATGCATCGCATCAACTCGGATCTTCAGTTGCCCAGGCCCCGTCAGCAAACTTTTGATGGCATTGAAGTCAAAGATGGTCCGAAGGAGATTGAGATAGATATCCACTGGGTCCACTATCTCCACTAAAGATAGGAAAGCAAAGTGAAACATCAATAGCTGTGACCATGAAGAATACCTGGAAGTGTAACAAAGAATCACTGCCCTAATACGTGAATCTCTGACCAAAATCCCATCATAATCCTACACATTATCTAGGAAGCAAAGTGTCCATTTACAGACAAAATCACAGACTAAGACAAAGTAAGATGCTACAAACTTTTCAGGTTATAGGGGCGTAAATAATATCAAGTTATAAATTCTCCTTTGCAAGTAAAAATCCAGCCGCAAGAATAAAGTCGTTAAAACTGTGCCTCTGCTCCCTACCCACACCCTCTTTCTGCCACCTACCTCCAAAATACTGCCCCCACCTCAAAGCTGAAAGGCATCTTGGCATACTCAGTGGCCTGTCCAGCAGGGGCTGGCCAAACCATGACTCAGCTGTCGTGAAACAAATCAAGGAGTGACCTCAGCAGCGACTCCTGTTTTCCAAATGCTATCGTGCCAACCAGACCCAGGTTCAAAATTAGTGAGAAAAATATATTCCTGAGTTTGGTTTATGACATCTCTTGTGTGCCCAATCGAGTACCAATTTCAGGGTAAATGCCAGATATTTAGAAATCCTCATTAAACACAAATGTTCTCCAATGTCTGGCACCATCCAATGACCAGGAATCCAACACATGTCATTTCTATTTATTTGACAAATACATAAAACACAGAATACATTACATTTTTCAAACTTGGCAATCATCACATAATAACACTCAGAAAGTACTTTTCCTAGAAAAGTTCCTACTTGACTTTTAGACACTAAAATTTTTCCATGAGCACAGCTTTTTAAATTCGTAGTTAAATTTTCAAACTTATATGCATTGTTTTTCAAAGTTTTCAAACACATACTAAATACTTTGGAATCCTGAAATATTTAAAAATGCACTAAAAATATTACCAATCCATCTTTAATAATGCTCAGTAAATCCAGGTAAAATCTTTAATGGATGAGATTAGAATACATAACATGAAACTATCTCTTCATTTGGTCAACTATGCATCCAAAAATATTGCTCCTTGCACTTAAATCATTGTAGTATGTGTGTAATTACTTTTTAAGGAAAACAGATAGCTTTTAGTCATATTTTGACATAAAGAAAATATTATTCTTAACATAAATCAATTAAAAATGAATCTATCTGAATTCTATACCTAAAAATGGTTAAAATTATAAACTTTGTTATTTACATTTTACCACAACAAAATATTAATCTATAAAATAAAAGGTCGTGTCTTGAATATATTAAAAATTTTACTCATTGTATAATATTCGATAATGTTTTCAGCAATTTCATTCTGGTATTTTAGTTCTCGAGCCACTTCCCTAAATACATTTGGTATTTATAGTAGATAACACATGATACCAAAGAGAAATGTAAAAAACAAGGAAGCAAAGAGAATTCAGTGAAATTTGAAAGATCACTTCACAAAGTTTATGTGCTTGGCCCTTTAAGGTGAAATGACAAGGACTGACTTGTTTCCAATTAACTCAAGCCCTGCTTAACATTTAAAACAGCACGAATGTAGCACATAAATTATTCTGATTATCTGAAAATTCTTTTCAGAAGCCAGGAAATCTCTCTACCCACCTCCTGGTATCCAAAATACTTTTTTAAAAAACTCATCAGACTAGCCCTGTTGCTACAGCAATAGACCTGAATCTAAGGTCACCAAAGATCTAGGTCTCTTGGACAACTAAATAAAATTGTAAAGATACCATAAATAAACAAAAAAACACACAAAAAACAAGCTATCTTCTTAATGGTAATGACTGATTTTTCTCAGTCATCTTATTGTCTAGTCCTTCAAACACATGTAATCAAGCATATTTAAATCATTTTGTTTAATATAATATATCCCTTTCTTTTAGCTGTCAAATCATTGTATGTGTGTCATGTGCGTGTTTGTGCATACGTGCACACGGTTCCAACTCGATTAATAAAAGCAAGCTTCCATTGCTTCCAATAAGTACCACATTGCTTTGAATTAATTTCTGCAGACTAGCTAAGTAAGAAAGTGATTGAAAACCTTTCAAGAAAAATGTACTAGAGCTGGTCCAACGCTGTGACCTCTGAGCAGTCCATTTCAAGCTCTTCTCTGTCCCTACAATACCTTGTTGCCATGAGCCAAGTATTTCACCTTTTTAGCTAAGTTAAATTACTCATAAAATATAGATACCGTCCTAACACAACCTGTATTTAGGCTTATAGGGGCACTAAAGTAGTAAAAAATATATATATTAGTTTTTTTGTTACCTATATGTCTTTTAGAAAAAAATAAAAGGATAAAATAGAGGGAGGAAATGATACATACATAAATGACATTAATGTAATTATATGGTTCAATATTAATCTATAAAATAAAATATTATAATCTAAGTACCTTAGACGTTTTATTCACTTTACAATATTTTTGACAATTCCATTTGGTTCTCTCATTTTTCAACCCCTTGCCTAAATCGACTGGGTACTTACTAAATTCTTTGATAAAATTTCCTAAAACAGTGCTTGGTAGAGAGCAGGGAAACAGCAATTGTGCTTTGAATTAATATGAACTGCATGGTTCTGGCTTGAAAAAGAAACACCTACCTCCCATGGGAAATTTTAACCCCATTACCATGCTGAGTCTCCTCTAATTATCTGAGGTATTTGAGCATCTTCACCTTAATTGCTCAGAAAAGCAATTCACAGTTTAGTCTTAGAACACTGTGAAAGAGTCAGCCCTGAAATGCCCCTATGTGGAAAATGATAGAGAGTTTGGGAAGTAGTTTTTGAAAGGTGCCAGTTCTGAATATCTTCTCTGCCCTCTTTGCCCTCTGCACCACATTCCGATTATATCTGTTTATCAAGTGTGACTCCCAAGGTTGATAACCCAATGGCTTCATGCGTGCGCTGCCCTGCCCCGCGGAAACCAGTCGCTCCTCCACAGAGTTATTCTGACTTCTCCAGAATAAGATCTATTACCTCGAAACGGTTTGAATTTGTTCTCCAGGTCAAATTCTTGTCTTCCTAGTCGAGACAGGTCAATTCGAAGATCAGGACATATAGCATATTCCTCAATTGTTTTGCTGATCTGATAAATTTTGTCTGAGACAACGTCTGGCGCAGGACCTAAAATTTGAAAATAATGTATCACCAAAAATAAATTTAATTAAAATTTCCATCAGAACAATGTTACCTCCTCCCCTACCAAGCAGGAGAAAGATTCATTTGTTCTCTAAACAATAGACAACAGTTCACAGTTCAATTAGCCTCAATATTTCTTATGCTGTATACATCCACTGCAGGGGAAATTTAGTAAGCCTCACCTGTTCTATGGAGCCTCATAACCTACATGTTTGTTTGTTTTAATCCACTTCTAAGCAATGATACATCTTCCCTAAAAATAGTTTCACACCTGCCAGGGAGGCCCGGTTATGTAATCAGCTTTATTCAGGATATGAGACACAAACAGGATATGCATTTGACAGAAGTGAGGGATTCCAGATTTAAACTACAGCTTCCCAGGCGCACCTAGAGGAAAGAAATACGATTTCTACTCCCAGGTCTGCTGCCTCATAAGTGTGTGAATTGACCAGGGAAAATTATTTTCCCCAATTCTCACTCTCCAGTGACCTTCAAGTTTTCAAATGGGGTTTAATTAAAAATATCCAATACATTTCCTCGCAAGGCCAAGTTGACAAGTTGTAATACACTTTACATTAATTAAACATAAAAACTATAGTTGTCCTCCTTTAGTTTTTTCTTGTTTTTTTAAAATATCTTAATGCAAGCCACTTCACATATTTTGCACTAAGTTTGGGAATCAAATGAAAAAGTAGATTGAAAGATCTAAAATATATATGATAGAGGATAGATAGACAAATAGACGTTAGGTAGCTTTGTGTATTAATTTCACTCATCAACTATATTTTACCTTTCTACTGAACACAAGTTATTTCTTGATTTCTTTTATATCCCAATCCTTAGAGCTGTACTGTCCAATGCAATAGCCACTAGCCACATGCAGCTAGTCAGCACTTGGAATGTGACTAATCAGATTGCAATGTGCTATAGTTGTAAAATACACAACAAATTTTGAAGAATTAATAGAAAAATATAGTACATTGTATTAATAATTTTATAATAACATGTTGACATAATGTTTTGGATATATTAGGTTAAATAAAATGTGTTAATCATTTCACCTGTTTCTTTTTACTTTGTTTATGTGGCTATTAGAAAATTTTAAATTGCGTATGTAACACACAACTTATTTCTATTTGACAGTACTGCTTTAGGGCATTACACTATTGTTGCTTCCCAATTAATGCTCATTGAACATATAAAAAGGAATAGTGCCCCAACTCATTAAATTACATACATTAAATATGTGCAAGTTTTTTGTATATGAATTGCACCTCGATAAGGCCGGGGGTTTGGGGGAGGGACAGCAACGGCACCATTCCAGTAGGTAGGAAAGAAAAGAGCCTAGCAGATTGTGCTGACGTTTCTTTGTCATGTAGGAAAAGTAAGAACCAAAAAGAAATAAGCACGTCCCTTCTCAACTTCACCCTTTTACAAAACATAAAAAGTAAATAGTCTTACTTAATTTTTGCATTTTTTATACAAAACGAATGCTTGCCAGATTAAAGAATGCATAAATATCCCCGTCTTCTGGACACCACACCATGTTCTTGTACTATCTCCATCAGTTTTTAAAAGTTTCTGAGTTTTAATGCCAAAGCACACTAGCTTCCAAAAGTAAAACAAGTTCTAGCACACTAGATAACTTTCTATCAACCACAAACATTGATAACCTCAGAGCTCATCAACCACCTCTGCACTACTTGACAACTTCCACATTCTTTGACATATTCTACTGCAATGATTTTCTTCTTCGTTTTGGTCAATGCCTGGTACAGTCATACCTTAAGTATTATTGTCTCTTGAAACTCTTCTTTCAAAAATATCAAACCTGAGTGTCCTTAGCTCACACATTGCTTATCTTCCATCTCTCTTACTCTGTACCTCTGCTGAACATGCTCCCCATCACTTAATTACTCCCAGGCCATCAACCCGTTCTAGTTTTATTGATCTATTATTCCAGGCAGGACCCTATGGTACACCGCTTGAGCTATGCCTTTGTTAGCATGGTAACACATACCAACATTTATCATAATTTACATATGCCACATATCACACTTCAGATGGATTTGGCATTTACAAAAAGCAGAGGAAGTAAGCATTGTTATTATCCTCATTTTACAAATGGAGAATCTGAAATTGGAAGAGGTGACCTAAATCAAGGTCATATCATTAGTAACTGACAGGCTGATTTGAATCCTTGTAGTCTGATGACAGCTCAGACACTATTAAGAACTACCAGCTCGGGGGTTAGGCGGGTGGAGGGACTGTGCAGAAAGGAAACAGGGACTCGTGGACACGGGCAGCAGTGTGGTGATTGCAGCAGAGGGGAGGGGGGATAAGGGGGATACATGGAAATGGACAAAAATACAATAAAAAAGTTTTAATGATTTTGAAAAAAAAAAACAAAGAACTGCCAGCCCTCTTGATTCTCTGCCAGGCCCACCCAACTGTTCCCCAAACACTGGACGTCCCCATTTTCTGCTCCCATTGCTGCCACACCGAGCATTGCTGAGGTTAGTCATGAAATTATATGCTTGCCTTCTCCTAAAAGTGAGGGTTTACCTTCATCCTGGCCCTCACTTCTCAGGAATCCTCAACACATTTCCCAGAGCACCTTTTATAAGACATTTCCATTTATTCCAAGTCCTTTCCCTATTCTTACCTCATGATCTTAGCAGGCAAACTTTCTCCTTACTTTTTTTTTGAACAGATAAGGATAACTATATCTGCCCCTCTCAAAGTGGGTTCTTTCCCCATCTTTGCCATCTTACTCAGATGTTCAGCCCTCTTCTTGGAATCTAGGTTCTGAACGAGCTCCATAGCTTTTTCTGTGATGCTGGTTGAGGTTTTTGTTTTTTTTTTTTTAACCATTTTACTCCTCAGTGACTTTATCAGGTTGTTATAAGGATTAAATGAGATAATGTATGTAAAGTTCTGTGTATAGAGCCTGGCACATTTTAAGTATTAAAAAAACCCCAGTATTTTAATTATGGATTCCATTTGTCCTCTAACATATTCCCCTCTACTTAAAAACATGTTCAAAATAGTCCTGTTCCCTAAAGATATTTTAAAAGCAATGTAGCTCCAGATGTGTCCCATTTTCTTGGATATGCCTACTTATTCTATACAATTAGCCTTTTAACTTATTCCATATGCTGTATCTGCATGACACACAATAGAAGAGATGAATGCCTGCAACTTCAGATGAAGGATGTCTTGCTAAAACTTATTCTACTTTGAGTCGGAAGAAACCAACTGAATCTCTCTGTGCCATCAGGAATTTAGTTTCATTAATAAGTCCAAGACATGCAAACATGAAGAAGTAAATGTAAGAGGAAGGACTTTCAATGTATTGGGTTGGCCAAAAAGTTCATTTAGTTTTTACCCACGATGGTCCTAGCAGTGCTTAGTTGTCTTTAACTTAATTCAAAACAAACTCATTAGATTACATTGTGACAGCAGTCATATCATGTGCATTTTTAAAAAACTAATCAAAATTGGTGAATTTTTGTGCAGCCATTTTAATATTGAAGATGAAAGTAAATACACAACATTTTTGGTGTATTATGCTTTATTATTTCAATAAAAGTAAAAACACAACTGAAAAGCGAAAAAAGATTTTTTGTGTGTGTATAGTGTATGGAAAAGGTGCTGTGACTTATCAAACACATCAAAAGTGGTTTGCGAAGTTTCTTAGTACTACTGATAATTTGGCCAAATAATTCTTTGCTGTCTCATGCACTGGAAGATGTTTAGCTGCACCCCTGGCCTCTACCCACAAGAAGCCAATAGAGAGAAAGAGCCAACATACTCAGAGTATCCAAGTCAATAGTTATAGGTGAAAATGAAAACTATGCCTTTTATTTATGGAAAAAACTAAACAGCTTTTTAGGCCAACTCAATAGTTAAAGGCTAAATGGTAAGTTCAATCCTCTACCTCTATTTGAGGTTTAATTGAATAGGTCTCAAAACCTCCTGTAATTGGGTATTTTAGAAAACACCTTCCTTTAAGCCTCACAGGATGTCATAGAGATGACTGGGGTGCTCTTGTAAGATATGAAGTCATGTATTAATTCCAAATTCTTATTTGAAATCTATTGCTGTTTGGTAACTTATATATTACATTTCTCTAAAAACTGCCATTTTTCTGAGCCTATTCAATGTCCTGTGTTAGTGTATGAAATACTTCACATTGCATAGTTTTTCCAGAAATATTCAATAGCTGCTGCAAGACTAGCTTATAGGTCCTAGGTATGATTTTTAGCGAAGCAGAACTCCTCTAAACAAGCTTTCAATGACAAGGCACTTCATAAGGCATTTTTTTAAATGCTTGACATCAATAAAGTTCTTTGTTTGGTAGTATCCAAAATGGCTACAAGGAGGAGGAGATAATATATGTTCTCTCGGGATGTGCTTTTTTTGGCTGGAGTCAGGAAAAATTCAGAGTGGTAACTGTTGCTGGTTAAAATTCAGCTCCTACCCATGTTGACACACAGATTCGGTATTCTAGATTAAAAGAGATTTAAGAGACTTAACCAAACTCAATGCATGGTTCTGGAATAAATCCTGGTTTAAAAAAAATAGCTATAAATGACATTTGGGGGACAATTGGAAAATTTTGAGTACAGGTTGTTTTAGACGATATTAGAGAATTAGTATTATTTTTGGTTGGGTGTGCTATCTCTTTCTTTTCAAGAGATGCATTCAGAAATATGTAGATGTAGACAAAATGTATTCATGCTGTAATTTACCTTAAAATTCTTAAGGGAAAAAAAGATAAGCAAAATGAAAAACAAAGTAATGGGTATGTGTATTCATTCATTATTCTCCATTACATACAAGATCTGTTCAGAAAGTATCCATGTAATATGAAGAATAGAGACATTTATTGAACATAATATAAGATACAAGAAACATTGTACACAGAACAATGACGCCTCAGTCCCCTTGAAAGTAAGCACCTTGGGACCTCACAGAGTTTTCCCAAGATTCATCTCCAGTTATGACCTTCTTGAAGAAATCTTGTTCATTAGTAGCAATTTGAATCGAGTCATCAACAACTGCTGCACGATGTTCCTTCTGCCCTGGCGGCAGAAGCCGTGGAAAGAATTTTGCCAGGACACATTCCACACCAAGATCCTGCATCAAAACCTCAGACACAGTAGTTTTTGGCATCCCCAGAGCACCTTCTAGTTCTTGTACTGTCAGTCGCCAATCTTTGTTGATTGCAGCTCATACACATTTAACATTCTGAGGTGTTCTGCTTGTTGTAGGCCTTCCAGAATGTGCATCACTTTCAATAGATTCTTGACCATCTTTGAAGTGTTTGTGCCACATTTTTATTTGCACTGCACTCATCACAACATCCCCGAAAGCCTTTTGAATCATCCGAATAGTTTCCACAAAGGAATGTTCTAACTTAATGCAAAATTTGATGCAGATTCGTTGCTCTACTTGCTCAGTCATTTTGAATGGGACAGCCACACAACACACATGCTCACTCAACAGTGTCTACCACCCCGACTAAGTAGTACAGTGAAGTCAGCATTGTTCACACACACACATTCCATTCCATCTCCTGGCTGCCAGGTTGCATCAATGTTACGCAAACTGTTCTCATTATATTAATGAAGGCTGGACTTTTTCTGAACAGACCTCATATGTTTAAAATTTTTTAGTTCATGCCTATACACATATCCCACTTTCCTGTTTGGCCACCAACATTTCCAAACTATACATTTCTGTAAATATAAGAAAAAGTGAAATAATTCTAAGCATTTCAGTGAAAGGAAGTCAACACTATAGGAAAGGAGGGCCTAAGGCTTAGGCAAAAAAGTCATTTGCCCAACCCTGAGCAGCCATGTGACTTTGAGCAAATAACAGCCGCTCAGGGCTTTGATTTGTTCATCTGTAAAATAACAATAACATTCTAAATGACTTCGAGGGTATGTTCCAACATAATCCAGAGTCTTTCCTTATCAAATAAGCATCAACTATTCAACTCTTTCACTGTACTGAGGAGTTCAGGGGACCAAGAGACCAAATGGATTCAAGATGCCATTATGCTACTTCTTTGTCCTGTCACTTTGGGCGCTGTGATAATTCATTTTATGGGTTAATTTGACTGGGCCACAGAGAGCACAGACGTCTGGTTAAACGTGATTCTAGGTGTGTCTGTGAGGGTGTTTCTTGATAAGATTAACATTTGAATCAGTAGACAAGTGGGCTTCATCCAATCCAAGGGAGACCTGGACAGAACAAACACACTAAGGGAGAATTCGCTGTCTCTTTCTGGTTGTCTTCAAGTGGACACTTCCATCCTTTCTGCCTTTAGACCCCAACTCAGACTGGAATTTACACCATTAGCACTGCTGCTTCTCAGGCCTTCCAGCTCAGGTCAGAACAATTCCATTAACTTTCCTGAGCCTCCAGCTTGCCAACTGTAGATCTTAGGACTTCCCAGCCTCCAAAAACATGTGAGCCAATTTCCTAAAATAAATCTCCTTATATCCTATCAGTACTGTTTCTCTGAAAAACCCTGACTTATACAGGCACCTCACTAGATATCTCTAAGCTATTTCCTCTCCACTCTGTCTGTCTACCATCAGAGGACCACTGTAAGACTATGATCATGAAAGAGGAAAGAAATCATGATAATTAAGGCATTCTCTGAATCACATACCTCCATTGGAAACATTAAACTTCACTCCAAACTCTCCTCCTGGTCCTCCAGGGCAGTGGCTGGCTGTTAGGATGATTCCACCAGCTGCCTTGATCTTTCTGATAATGCAGGAAACGGCAGGTGTTGACAAGATGCCATTCTGTCCAATAATCAGTCGTCCAATCTAGACCAACCAGGAAAAAAAAAATCATCCCTGTTACATGGGATTGAAGTATGGTTCAACAGGAAAGTGCCACGGTATCTGTTAACACACAGTAAATCACTTCAAAAGGAACAACCAAGTGGGTGGGGACGAGGTGGGGGACAGAGCATGGGCGTTGTCTCTTCTGCCCAATGTCTCCAAAACAATTTGGGATACCCACATCTAGCAGTCAATTATTAGTCTGTAAATTGGAACTGCCTCATTGATTTTCAGTAGCTTGAACCACCTGCTTTTGATGACCAAAGGGTTAGCCTGAACCAGACAAAAAGTTCTCAGTTACTGGTTCCAAAGCTGCGCATTAACATGCTAGAAATTACAAGAAAAAAAGAAATGAAGCAAGTCTATTCTTCACCCCTTCCTTTGCCTCAGCACAAGCTCACACAGGAGGGGACCTGACTTACACAGACTCATTGTCAGTGGGCATATTTTAATTGTACCCAGAATGATCACTCTCCTGAACACAGGAATTCTATATCTGCTACTAAGTGATAGCATGTGCTGGGAATGTTGAAGAAGCTATCCAGTCATGCTAGGCATAGATCTTTAAGTCATCCATTGGTGTGTCCAGACTTTCTAGAACTACAAAATGGACTTTTTAAAAAGAAAGCAATACAGCCCTGCAGAGCATAACTTGGGATGCTTTGTTTTAAAATAAGACCCAATGTCATGCAATCCAGTGGTTCTCAAATATTGCTGCAAATTAAAATCACTAGTAAAGCCTAGAAAATTCACCATACTCAGATTGCATCCCAGACTAATTACATTGGAATCTCTGGGGGTAGGATCCAGCCATTTGTAGTTTTTAAGCATCCACAGGTGATTCTTATACCCAGTCAAGCCCGGTGATCAAACCTCCTCGTCACTCAAAGGACCAGCAGCATAAGCACTACCTATGAACTTGGTACAAATGCAGAGCCTCAAGGCCCACCCAAGACCTACTGAATAAGAATCAGTATATGTCTTTTAAGGTTTTATTTATTTATTTTTAGAAAGAGGGAGAGAAACATTGATGTGAGAGAAAAACATCAATTGGTTGCCTCTCACATGTACCCTGACCCCAGGACTAAACCTGCAACCCAGACACGTGGGCTGGCCAGGATTTGAACTGGTGACCTTTTGCTCTACAGGACAATGCCCAACCAACTGAGTCATACCTGTCAGGGCAAGAATCAGTATCTTAATAAGACCCTCTTTCCTCCTTCTAGATAATCCATTTGTCCATAAATGTTTGAGAAGTATTGATGTAGCCCACAAACCAAGGCAAGCTCTAGCATCCAGCTCAACAGCAATTACACTGGCATCAAATAATAGCATTGCTAGAGGAAGGTCACTGACCAAATATGACCGTGAGGGGAGATACAGGAAAAATATGCTTTAGAGAGCAAACACAAGAGCTCCAAAAACAAAGCAATCTTGGATGACTTAGTCTGGAAAGACCCACACACCACAACATCAACAGACTATGTTTTCCATTGGATGAGGCATATTATAAACAAATAAATGTAATAATAATAAACAACTAGTTGGATACATATTAGGAAGGAAGTCAACAGGGTTCCATGACAAAGAATAATGGGGTGTCGATTTTAATAATAACAATACTAACAATAGCCCAGAGAGCTTGAATTTTATTCTAAGTACAATGGGAATCCATCAAAGGGTATTAAGCAGTGGAAGTGACCTAATATTATTTACACTTTAAAAGATCACAGACTGAGCAATCCAAATGATCTTGTTAAAAAGCAAGTCATTTCTTGTCAGCAAAACCTCATGGCTCTCCTTGTCCCCCACCAACCCAAGGTAAAGTCAAAGTCTTCATCATAGACTCCAAGGCCTGACATAATCTGACCCTCATTGCCTGCCATTTCCCTCCCTCCCTCTGCTTCAGCCACACTGGCCAGTTTGCTGTTCCTCAACACAGCAAGCATGATCAGGGTCTTTGCATTTGCTCTTTCCTCTGTTAGAGCACTCTTACCTGGGTATTCACATACCCACCCTGTCCTCTCCTTTGTGTTTCTTTCCAATGTCCACTAATCAGAGATAGCACTGTTGACAGCCATATATAATACAGCACCCATTAGTCTTTAATTTCTCTATTATTCTGTTTCCTTTACCCTGATTTAATCTTCTGTATTACACACATTATCATCTAATATTTCCATGTTATTTATTTCTTTTCCCATTATGTATAAGCTCTAACGACTTCATTTATTCACTGCAACATTTTGTGATTCTCAAACAAACTTACCATGTAAGTACCTGATAAATATATATTGAATTAATTGAAAAAATGAATGAATGATGAATGAATGGCTGCTATGTGAAAAATGCATTTGAGAGTGACAAGAACAGAAGGAAAAAGATCAGGTGAAAGGCTGAGTATGAGTAATGTCTTGGATTAGGCTAGAGGCAGTAGAAATAAAGAGAAGTGATTATATCTGTGATATTTTCTGGAAGGAGAATGAACAGAACATGTGTGTTGAGTGAACTATGAAATAGAGGAGCAATGGTAGTGAGCCTCCAAGATGGCTCCCAATGACCCTTGCTTCTGGCACTCCTGCCTCGAAGCAGTCCCACTGAATATGGCAGATTTAGGGTACCAGTACATTAAAGAGTGATAGTGTGTGACTTCTAAGGTGAGGCCGTAATTGCCACTTCTGACTTGCTCTCTTGGATTGTTCACTCTGGAGGATACCAGTTAGCAGGTCATGAAGACACCACTCTTGTAGCCCTATGTGGGCACCTGTATGGAGAGGAATGAAGACCGCCCACCAGCAGCCAGCCCCACCTTGCTAGCCGTTAAGGTGAGCCGTCTTGCAGGGTATCTATCCTCCAGCCCCAATCAAAGGCTTCATATGACAAAGCCCTCACCAATGTGACTGTGACCTCATGAGAGTTTCCAAGCCAGAACAACCCATATTCTGTCCCACAGAAACTAAGAAATAAATGTTGTTATTTTTAAGCCACTAGGTTTTATGGTATTTTCTTTCTCAGTTTTCTACCTTTAAAATTTGATGAATGATGATGCCATTTATTGAGACACAAAAAACATAGGGCAACAATTACACTCATATTATTATCCAGAGCCATGGTAAATTATGTTCTACAGGCTCTTGTTAAAATTTAATTGATTACTCAACTCAGTCTACTGAGTATTGCATGCAATGTAGAAGACTCCAGGTACAGCGACGAATACAATTTAATCACTTCTTTCAAAAAACAAGTTTATAGATTCAAGAAACTGAAAATTTATTATACCTTTTGTTCATAGTTTTTGATCCTATTTTTTTTGAATTATTCTTAAAGATATAATCTTTACCATAAACTTGGTGGCTAAAACAACAGAAATTGATTCCTTCACAGTTCTGGAGACTAGAGTCTAAAATCCCACTTCCTCTGGGGGGTCTAGGGAAAAATCTGGTCCCTGACTTTGTTGGTCTCTGATGGCTGCCTGGTGTTCCTGGGCTTGTGGCCACATCACTCTAATCTCTGCCTCTGTCATCACATCACCTTCTCCATCCACCATGTGCTGGTTTTATCTTCTTCTATTAATTCTTGCTCTCCCAGTTAGCCCAAGACAAATGACACCAGAAAAGATACGGTTTTTGAGATCTAGTAATTGACCAAGTAAATATAATCTTTGGAAGCCCTGTTGTATAAAAAAAAAAGTAGTTAACTTGAAGTTAGAAGATCTAGATATGAGTCTTGGCTCCATCCCTGACCTATGGCAAACTACCTCAGTTTTCTGAAGCTTTCTGTCTTCATCTTCAAAGCCAAGAGGGTAAAGGGTTGTGAAAACTCGCTTATGATGAGGTTATATAAAGGGGAACTCTCTGTGAAATGAATCTTGACCCAAATGATGCTACTGCCTCCCCCAAATCCCATTCCCCTCCCCCCAATATTTAAAATTCATTCTTAGACAGGAGATTATCCCTTAAACTGCTATTTCACTTTCTGAAAAAGTACCAGAAATACTACCCTCCATCAATGTAGCAGACTGCTGCCTTGCAAGGAAGAGATGGCCTACATACTCAATTGGCTTTGGTTTTGTTTGAGGCATTGGAACAGGCAACATCTGACTTTTATTTCTGAGTGGAACCCGGATCACAGCCTGGAGAGGTGCAGGCCATGGCATTCTGCTGCAACCTCACCAACCCTCCCAAAGGGGGCATTGGAGGGACCTCCACTCCCACACCACATGGCCTGTGTTTGGCTGGAGGAAGGGAACCCAACCCAGCCCTGCAGAAGGTACACTAAAGCTCCCTAGATGGATTTTACTGCCTCTGAGGAACATGTCCTTTAGCACCCACTAAGGAAGATGGGGCAAGGTGGGCCCTAGCCCACTGTCATACACACAGAGGAGGCACAGTGACACCGATCCCAGGACCCACAGGTAGCCATGTGAACACTGTCACACAGGTGCCTGCAGACACATATGCGAGGCATACACTTTCCAAGACACATAGATACATTGACACAGCATGAACTTGTTCATACCCAGTCACAACTTCTAAATATTTGGGGCATGGAAGGCATAGCAGGGAGCAGTGTGCAATCACCATCGTTCCTGTGGCTCAGTTACTTATGATCTCTCTGTGTCTAACCTTCTAACTGGATGCCAATGCCCTCCGTCAACCCTTAAACCTCACCTAGATTGTGCCATTATTTATTCGACCCATGAGTGGGCATAGCAGATGCTGCAGGAATCTGGATTCCTCGCCTCATGGCACAGACCAGTGTCCCGAAAACAGAAAGCTTTATTACACCAAGCTTTCTCCCAACACTTTCATTTCTTTACGCTAGGTACACAAACAACTAATTCTGTTAATGATTTTTATTTCTGATGGCTCCTTCTTTTCCAGAATGCTGCCAACAACTCTTCCAAATTAGATTTAGTATGAGTTCAGTGTTTAATTATCTCAAATTAAAAGCCAAGAGAGCAGCAATGCACAATTTAAACC